TTCATTGGCAAAGTAAGAAGGATTTATTTATGGAAGTGAAAATGAAGAAAACGATCTTTTTATCAATGAAAAACTTCAACACCTAAATTGAATTGGAGAGAGAGAGATAAAAATATAAAGAGAGAGAAAGAAACAGAAACTGTGAGATTGAGAAAAAGAGGGCAAAAATAAAAGTAATGAGAGAAAGATGAAAAGAAAATGGGAGAAGAAAAACATGTTTATGTAAACAGAGAATGGAGTAAGAATTCTGATACTATATTTTCCAGTTTATTTTTTAATATCTACATAAAAAAAATATCTTCAATCTGTGTTTTTCTTAAATTAAATTTCATTCAACCCAAGCGAAAATATGATTTTCTTCAAATATATCCAAGAAAATAAAAAAAAAAAAGGCTTTTCGTAAATCAATCAATAAAGAATCAACCAAATAAAATGTTCATTATTCTGAATAGAATTTCCGAAATAAGTGCAACAACACAGACAAAATTAATTTCCAATTCATTCAACTCTTTTCAAAAATTGGTATTTACTGCCAAGGACATTCTTTTCTTCTCCATCACATCAAACAAAAGCATTTTTACAAAAGAGAAGAAATCACAATCACAACAACTTATGGAATTTTATTTTTAAAAAAATATATTAATATTTAAACTGGCATATCTGATTTTAACAAAATATTTTACAGGTAAATGTTGAAATAATAAAATTTAACTTTCATTAAATAAATCCAATTAAAATATCATTTATCTTGTTACCCTGTTAGTTAATTAATATACTATAATTATCATTAATTCACTTTTTCTAAATCAATGAGATGACCCCAGTTTCCTTCTCTACACATACAACCATAACATTCTCACTATTGAATAAGCAGTTCACACGGACAGGTCATTAACACATGCATCAATGAAAATTTAATCTCCTTTTGTTTTTCAGACCATTATAATAATATTATCTTTTAACATTCAACAAAAATTCAAGGTAAGATAACCTCAGACACTTCTTGCATTTTCTAACAAAATTATCTGAAAATTTATTACACACTAGCAGCATGGCCCAGTGTTGCCTGTTCTTGATTCAAAAAATCGTACGACTCATACAGCAATCGCTATCACTTGACTTAAAATATTTTTGCCTTTCCTTGCCTTTAAAGGAGTGCCTTTTGCCATACTGATGTTGCTACATGCCTTGCTTCTTGCCTATCTCACACTGCGGATTTTTTCGAAGAACTATACTAAACATTAAATCTGTTACAAAAAAGAACTAAACAAAATGAACACAAAACGATCAGCTTTAAAAAAGGACTCGTAACTGGAAAAACTGAATGAAGAAAGAATGTTAACAACAAATACTTTTTCACACCCAACCCAGTTCTGTAGAATCAGAATCAATGTTGAGTTTAAGCAAGCGAATGAGCCAATTGGAGTAAAGTGCCATGCAGATTTGAATTTTTCCCATTTGTGATGAATGCATCTATCGATATTTTTTGCATGCTAGCATGCTAGTTAACATTCGTGTCAGTCAGCTGTTGGCTCTCACACTGGCCAATAGAATCTTCCTGCCTATTTGTGGCAGCCAGCTATAGGCTCTCACTCTGGCCAGTACAAAATGGCTGCAAACTACATGAAAACTGCCATAGAAGCATGAAAAATCGATTATTTCCAATATCAATGGGAGTTGGGAAATGCAAAGTAGGTCTTGGCCTTCCCACTAACTTGGAGCATGTGCATGTAAATTTTAGTGCAAATCCGTCGAAAATTACGGCCATGCACACACACAAACACCCTGCCTTTTATAGATTACACATATCTATAAGCTGATAGAATGTTGACAGTGGATAAAGACATTGGTTAGATCCAGTGACAGGACCCAAAGAGTGTGAGTTCAATACCCGACTAAGGCAATGGAGAACTTGGAGAGGGGAATTAACAGGAGATAACTGATAACTGGCATCCATTAGACATGGCACATGGAACTAGAACAGTCTACCCCCAGTGAGCAAAATAAAGGGTTCAGTTTGACATTCCATCCACCTGAAGAAGGCTGGAGTGTACAATGGCCAAAACGTTGAAATAAATATGGTGACAAAAATGAGGACAATAGTCCGAATAATGTAAATAGTGTACATAATACCTCATCTCAAAAATATAGACAAATACCAAAATACATTAAGTTATATGTAGCTAAATAAATTCATTGTTATTCTTCTAAGTTCCAATTTGTTATGTCAAATGCTAATGTAAGGTGTTCTGTCCAGTGTTCATATCAACAGGGGAAACCTAGTGGATCTTCTGTACCTTTAGTCCAAAAAAGCTAAAAGATGATGAACTGATCTGTTGGATATACTTTTATTATCTCCTCTATTGAATACGAATGTTATTTGAGACAGTGATTTGGGCCACTAGTTTTATACTACAGAAAATTCCAGCAGATACCTCATTAAGGACCTTAATTGAGCAATAAATATTCTTTGCAGGAAGTAATTCCTTCCAATAGGTATTACTTTTCTACACATGATATATAAATCAGGGAACATCAAATGTCACGAAAGTAGGGGTATGTCCCATCCATCTGGCACAATTATCATGCCCCATTCAAAATCTAATCAGTCATATTATTTTACCATAATCAGGTCACGTTGATTCAGTGCTACCATCTCTCTTTACCTGTATATACTACCTTCTCATGAATTTTGGCATGTGTATATATATATATATATATACTAACAGTAATACTTGTTTGGAAAAAACCTCAGCTCAACTTACAGATATGTCAAAACAAATCGGCACCCAAGAAAAAAATTAGAAATAAAAAAAGAAAGAACTAAAAACATCTGAACAGGGCAAAATAAATCGTCAAGTGCCTTAAGCCTTTAGTTGAAAGAAAAAAACCCCAAGCGGGTAATAGGACTAAAATGTAGAGTGCTCAATATGCTAAGTAGAGTGGGAATAACTAAAATAAATCCTAAAGCGGCAGGAAAATCTATCTAGGTTTCACCTAAAGGTATTTCACTATTTAGGTGAAACCTAGGTAGGTTTTCCTGGCTCTTTAAGATTTATTTATATATATATATATATATATGCCTACATGTATCTATATGAATATGTATGTATATATATATATATATATATATATATATATGGGGCACCTTGAGATGGTGTAATAGTTAGTAAGCTTGGCTTGCTAGAACAATTACGACTAAGTAGAGAGTTTGATCCTCACTGGGTGCCCATACTCTTGGCCTTGTTCCACATATAAGCTATGCTTGGAAAATAAATAAATATATATATATATATATATATATATATATAAGTGAACATTCAAGTCAACACTCAGAGGCGACAGGATGCAATCATCAGAATGTTGACTTCAATGTTCACTTTTATATTTATATTTACATATACTCTATCTCTGATATTGAGCCATTTATCCCATAAATATAGCACATCTTAAAACTATATTTCTACATATATATATATATATATATATATATATATATATATATATATATATATATATATCATTGCACCCCAAGCAAGGTGGGAATGTGTCTAGTATGCAGGGGTTACAGGCAGTGAATGTCAGCGAAAAGAGTGAGTATAGGGAAGATTGAGGAACGGAAGGACAAAAGATGAATGGGATTCAAGAAGACAGAAGATGGTGATTGATGTTGCATTAAAACTTTTGAAGACTATAGTTATCATGGAAGCAAATGAGATGGAGTTCCATGGACAGGAAGTGTAAGAAAAAAAACTGTTGAAGTGAAATGCTATTTTAATAGTAAATGGGTGAGATGTTGATGACAATCTAGTAGCATGCTTAAATTCATGTCATCAGGGTACCAGGAAAAAAAGCTTGTCAGAGCAGCCGCTATGAAAGTTTTTGTAGAAAAGACAGAGGGAGGCCATGCCACATTGGTGAGGAAGTGTTTGAAGTTGAGATGCTTAGTCAGGATTGATTACATGACAAATCCTTCTTTGGATTTTGTAAAGAAGCTTGATATTAAATTGGGGGAGGAGCACCCATAAACTGTTTTATCATCTACATAGTTATTTATTTTTAATTAAAGATCTATTTAATTAGAGAATTCACCTTACAGTTTTTTGTAGTCTCATGTATCTGATTGGCAGTTTGAAAATTTTTAATTTATTTTTAATCTGTCCCTCATTTTATAGTTACAAATAAATATGTTCAAGATGAAAATGCTAAAAATATTTATACTATTTTAAGACAATTATTGCCTTAAAAGACCTGAAAAATGCTAATTGCATCAGTGAAGAGACTCTATAAAATGTCCTTTATAAATGTTTCTAATGTATAGAGACAAGCCTTGATCTTCAATTGCAAAGCAGATCACTTGCTAGTAAAGAATTCAGTTAAGAAGAGAAACGAAGAAAGTCCTTAAAATATGGTTGCTCTCAAGGGACAGTGTGCAATTTTACAAATCTAAACTTAAAAATCATAGAGTGAATGCCCGAAAAAAAATCTTTAGGAAAATCTCAAGAGTAAATTTGAAGGAGGAAGAAATTCCCATGCCATGAGAAATGGATTATTAAAAGTTGAAACAAAGCTTTTCCAAACTTTCACTGATAAGTAAAACGGATGGCCAGTTAAAAACTACAAATATAAAAGAAACCTTGTCTAAAAGAAACATTATCAGAAAGTTTATCTATCGAGGGAATTCCTTGGTTAAATAAAGCATGCAACTTGAAAATAAGGTTGAACTAAAGAGAAAATAAATTTTGAAGAAAACTTATTCTGAAGTAAGAATAGATAGAAATTTTCTTTTTTAATTCCCAGAGTGGCGTTTAGTGTGTCAACCATTTCTTGGTATTTGGCAGTGTGAGTTTTATCCACAATTCACAGATAATTCTGAGATTAATTCTGAGATTAACTCTGAGATGAAATCTGAGATTAAAAGGTTGAATTTTTTTGTTGTAGTTTAAAGCAACCTTCAATTGTAACAAAAGGCAAAATAGTTTTCTCTCTCCATCTCTCTAATGCAGTATATTCAGATCTATCTATCTATCTATCTATCTATCTGTCTATCTATCTATCTATCTATCTATCTATCTGTCTATCTATCTATCTATCTGTCTATCTATCTATCTATCTATCTGTCTATCTATCTATACTTTTTTATAGATACCTCTGATTTTATGCAGTTCCCTCTTTCGCTTGATCTGTTTGTTGCAGTATATTCATACATATCTATCTATCTATCTATCTATCTATCTATCTATCTATCTATCTCAGTCTCTTCATATCTATCTATCTATCTATCTATCTACCTATCTATCTATCTATCGATAATTATATTGTTCAGTTCTTATTATATTTATTGGGTAGGACAACCCACTATCCTGGACACAAGTGTAAATACAGAAATCAACATTGCATTGTGACTGGCTTAAGCAATCATCAGAAAATGACAATCAACATGCAGCATTGCTTCCTATAATCCTATTATATATATATATATATGTATATATATATATATATATATCGAACCTATATATATATATATATATATATATATATATATATTGAACCTATATATATAAATATATATATATCGAACATATATATATATATATATATATATATTCATATGTTTTCATTAAATAATATAGATAAATGTTGTCTATTTATTTTATGTAAATTCTTTTCATAACGTCTGATAAGCATAATAACATTTTCATTAAACGAAGAAATGTTATTAAGCATACCAGACATTATGAAAAGAATTTACATAAAATAAATAGACAACACTTGTCTATATTATTTAATGAAACATGTATGAATGAAAAAATGCTGCCTAAATACACACAATATATATATATATATATATATATATATCTTAATATATTTTCTGTTTATATGTATATACGTATTAACAGTGTTTAACAGCCTGAATATCCAAGAAATTTCATAGAAAATATATGTCCTCGAACAAAAATTGAACTGGTATCCTACACAGAAAATGTAGTTAATACTGTAAATTATAAACAGAGCATTTACTTAAATATTTGTATCTATAAAAATAACATATAAACAGAAAATATAATAAAATAATTGTTGGACTTAGTCCATTTCATAATATATTTTTTATGTTAAGATTCACTTGCAGCAGATATAAGCATTTGAGAGAAATCATGAGAAATTTGTAGTTTAAAAACAGTAATTTGACCTTGCTAAACAGACACTTCTTCCATAGCTAAATGGTAGAGCACATCAGGCTATATGATCTGTGTAGGTTTGATTCCTGTTGGAGGACACATATTTTCTATGAAATTTCCCGGACATTCAGGACAGTAAATGTTGTTAATAATGTTTATTATAAACAGAGAATTTACTTATATATTTGTATCTATAAAAATAACATATAAACAGTAAATATATTAAAATAACTGTCAGACTTAGTCCATTTTTCATGAAGTCAACACTCTGCCGATTGCATCTAGGATGAAACAGCCTGTTGCCTCTGAGTGTTGACTTGAATGTTCACTTATATATATATATATATATATATATATATATATATATATATATATATATATATATATATATTTATTTTCCAAGCGTAGCTTATATGTTGCACAAAGGCCAAAAGTATGGGCACCCAGTGAGGATCGAACTCACTACTCAGTCGTAATTGTTCTAGCAAGCCAAGCTTACTAACCATTACACCATCTCGAGGTGCCTGTATATATATATATATATATATATATATATATATATTCATATAGATACATGTAGGCATTTATATATATATATATATATATATATATATATATGTACATGGTGGAAAATCAGTTATAGTTGGGGTAGAACCACTTCTATGACTTTAGTTGTTTTTCTTGTCTCTAGTGACGCATTAGTCTTGTGAGTGACCTAAACTTTAAAACACAGGTTTTACAAGCAAGCATACTATTTGCTGCACTGATATCATTGTACTGTGACTTGAAATGATGGTTAAGTCCAGTTGTTGACCTGCACATTTTGTTGCATAGATTGCAAGTAAAATCACCTTGGCATCACGGTGACAGACTGTGTTGTCATTGTGGTAATGTGTGCGACTAATCAAGCCAGCCTTTCAAATGCATATATGGCTACATTCTGTTCAGGTGAAACTCATTTTAGTACTTGCTAAATGCAACTGTATCATTCTAAAAGTTCTTCTCTCTCATTCTTCTCACCTGTGGATCTCTCTTCTGGCTTCTTTCTTTCCTGTCAACTACAATCTTCAAAAATTGAAATGCAACATCAATCATCTGTCTCCTTGAATCCTGGACTTATTATCATTTCCGCTCAGTAACACAATGCATCATTGTGACATTATTGTCTTGCTTGGGGTGAAATGATTAAAAAAAAAACAAGTACATTTTTCTAGGAGTAGTCGTATGTCCTCCATGCAGTGAGCAGATGTTTTCTGCATATTCAATACTGCCTTTCTTAAATTCGTTCATATCAGTCATCAGTCAGGAGTCCCAAGTTGAACATTTAGATACAAGCTCTTCCCAAATGCTTGTGTCTTTTTTAATCTACTTAAGTGTGTCCTTAAAGCAGTCTTTGTAGCATTTAACTATAATCATCTTTAATATTCATTGGTGATCATGGCTCTCCTCAGTGGAAGTAATCTTAAGTTTGCCATGCAGTGGAGCAGCCTGTTTTAGTTCTGTGTATTCAATCCTGCCTTTCTTAAAGTTGTTCATCATCAGTAGGGAGTCCCAAGTAGATCTTTTTGATACAAGATCTTCCCAAATGTTGCTATTTTGACCCCTCTTAATTGTGTCCTTAAAGCTGTTTTTGTAGTCTTAACTATAATCATCTTTAATAAACATTGGCTCTCCACAATGGGAGTAATCTTAATTTTGTCATGCAGTGGAGCAGCCTGTTTTAGTTCTGCATATTCAATCCTGCCTTCTTAAAATCATTTATACCAGTCATCAGTAGGGAGTCCCAAGTAGATCTTTTAGATACAAGATCTTCCCAAATGTTGCTGTCTATTTTGAACTTCTTAATTTCTACTTCATAACTATGCACTTTGATGTTAGAAATTTTTTGTCATTACAGCACAATGGTATCAGTTGATCACTATGATATTTTCAGCATTTAAAATGAGCCTTTTTGGAAACCTGTAGGCAATTTTCCCATCAAGGATGTTAAATCTGGATAAAGTACTGCCAAAGTAAACTACCATTTCAACAATTTCTAACTTTTTACCTTTGACATAGTGTTGTAACTGAGTTATCAAAAACAACAATAGAAAATCAGAATTGGTTTAACAATAAGTTTATTACCTTTTGGTACAGGGAAACATAATGTAGAATAGAAACTAGGAAAAAGAATGACTAAATGTTTTCAACAAAGGCTACAGTTACTACTGCTTCTCCTGTTACTCCTCTTGATGTAGGATTATTGTTATGTCTTTATTCTGACAACCGAGTCCAAACTTGTAAGGAAATATCCTCCCTCACAACACATAGATGGCGGCATACAAGAATTTCCAGTGTCTCCCTAATGCATTACTGTTGTCTTTTTTTTTAAGATTAATCATAATCCCAAATTAGCATTATTTATGTTATTTACATTTGTACTAATGTCCTTATCTTTGTTGTTATTATCATGACATTCCAGTGGTTATGCCTACTGTCTTTCTTCAGGTGTCTATTGATTTGAATAACTTTCAGGAATTTGGAACTGAATTCTATTTAATCTGTGGATTGTTCTTATTCTGTGCCTGGGGATTATCTTATATAGTCCTTTTTACTACTCCCCTGTCTCTGTACTGCTTGACCTAAGAGTTGAACTCACACCAATGCATTCCCATAGGACAGAACTTAGAATCTTATAAATTTCTATTCTGTCTGCTACTGCTGACATCAAACATTTTATATTTCTTCATAAAAAAGACATTTATTTTTGCAAAGGGTTTTGGCTTTTTTACTGAAATTTTTTTTTTGGTTTCATTTTTAATTTTTTTATTTGGCTGAGAGTTTTATGTTTAAATTCTTTCTGCCCTCCATCAGGATCTTTTGTAAATTGATTTGTAAATTTAAAATATTGGATGCACCACTATAGTTGAGGCTAAATTAATTTTGATTACAGTTATCAAATGGAGACAGGGAGGAATGATGATTAGCAGCTGGGATTGAGGAGTGCCAAGTTCAAATTTAGGCAAGTTTATTACATATACTTACCTCTAATAACCTTGGGCAAGATATGAATCCATCTCTTCTTCCCCCACCTATGGGTAAAATAGCAGGACAGACCGGATCCTATAGCCTTGGGTGGCAACCAGTCTAGGAGAAGGACACTTTGAGTTAAACCCAGATTACACTATCCTAAAAGAGGCTTTTATGCATGTGGCTGGGGAATGATTTTGCATCCACATTCCTACTAAATCTCTTACTATTTGCACATCAGGGGTGGGGGTCAGATATTATTCAGATGTGGCACCAAAGGAGGCCAATGTTCTTTAGGGAATTAGAAGAAATAATTTCATCAAATACATCTATTGGATTCTTTGGTACACATCATCATTGATGTTTCTAGCTGATGTTCGTTAGGGGTTTGGGGTCTTTCAACATCATACTCCGTCTCTGCAGTGACCCAGCTGATAATAATTGGGTATCAACTTGTGTACCTTCCGTTAGCTACAGTTTCTTCCATCTTTATAACTATACACTGTGACTCCTCTTGGCAATTTATAGTCCACTCCCAGACAACATCCACTTCACCAGCAATGTGAGCCGTTCCATAAAAAAGGAAGCAAACGCAACCACAGTTTCTATCTGGTAAGTAACATGGCAGCATGCTTGGCTTGATTTGTTTCCCTCACTGAGAACATATACACATACATGTATATGCATGAAAACGCGCTTAAGAATCACATTCTGCTTACACTTATCCTATTTCTATTCATGTTAATGATCTGCCCAGAAGAGAAAAAAAATAGAAAAATATTTCCTCCTTACTGTTTTCCTTGACCTTCTCTCTTTATGAGTTACACACATGCACACACATATCAACACCAATACACTCACACACACATACCAATATACACATCTAAAAAAAAACAAATATACCGTAACCCTGGTAGTGGGGGGCAAACAGGTGCTAGATCTTAACCAAAGATCACCAGTAGGTAGGAAAAAACAAGTTACAAGTGATAGTAATATATGTGATATCTATCTATCTATCTATCTTAGTCTGTTTCTATCTATCTATCTATCTATCTTAGTCTGTTTCTTTCTTTCTTTCTTTCTTTCTTTCTATCTATCTATCTATCTATCTATCTCTTTAACTGTCTATCTATACTGGAACCTTCTTAAAGTTGATTTGAGGGTAACAGATTTCTGTTGTTTCTGATTATTCAAGGACGGTAGATCTCAAACAGTAGTTTTCTCAAATTTTTATTGAAACACTCTTCCTCATCAGTTATTGTGATATGCCAAGAACAAGATGTTTGGTTCAAATATTTGTCAGTTAAACTGACTGCATGTAGAAATATATTCATGTCTTTATCTTGTAACATTGACAACTAACCTTATGGTCACCAAACTGTTCTTACTTTTAGTGATCTTGTTTAAAAATATTTATTGTTCAAAAAAATTTGTTGAGCAAAAACTAAGAGTTGAGAAAATAGACAACAAGATAGAATTTTTTATTCTATTGGGAAACGTCTTTTAGGGAGAGAAATTTTCAAGGAATGTCTTTAAGAGTCACTGTAAATAATGAAGGAAAAGTTGGTCATACTCAGCTGGTGAATTAGAAAATGCATGGGATGTACTGCCTATACATTATATATATCAGTTACACAGAATGCTAAACTTTTGTGCCTTGTCACAATGTTAGCTCACAGGGAAAAGAAACTAGCCTCTTCTGGTTCACAGAACATATGTACCTCTTCTTGCTGAAAAAGTGGTTGTATGAAGCTGAAAGTTTAGATATTTCTGAATAGTTTTGGCTTCATACATCACATGTAAAAAATCTCTATCTAAAAAGTCTATTTAGAAAATGACTTGAGTTCAGGTTAATGCTTTGGTTTTGTAGTAAATTGTTGGTTGAAACTGCATCTAGCACTGCCTATTGTTTATTCAATTCCTTATCTCTTATATTAAATATAACTGGTCCATACATCGAGGCATTTGAAGTGTTTCGTATTTACAACATCCACATCCTGAATTTTTATCATGGATTCAGGGTAGGTGCTGCCACTGCTTTCGTTCCTATTCCAAATCATAGTTTCTGTTTTTGGAAAGGCATATCTCAAATCCTATTTCTTGGAACACTTGTTAGAGGATATTGATTTTCTGTTCAAAATCATTCTTATCCCAACTACGTTGTCAGCATATCAATCCACACTGACCTTGGGAGGAAAACCAAGATCATTGTCTTCTATTGGTAGATTTGTTTGGAATGTAGTATAGAATGCTTACATGATCTATGCTCATCTCTTCATCTCTGTGTTTGTAAATGTGCCAGGCCTAGACTAGGAAAAGATTAAATAGCCTGGGGCTCTCATTTCCTCCTTGTCATACTCCAGGTGAGGTTTGAAATGTTTCCGTATTAGGGGGACCTCGCCAGACATGTATGAATTTGTGGACCAACACTGTTCCTCTACTGTATTGATTTATTTAGCATAATCAAAGATGGAAGGTGGTTTATAATGGATGAGAAGGGGAAGTCTCTATTGATGTGGTCATATGCTGTTGTGAGGTTGAAAATTTCCCATATCCATATGCGAAATATGGATGATCAAAAATGACACCAGCTCATTATGAACGTTTATTTCTGTTTCCCCACTGTTTTTTCATGGCTCTCCCCAACTTCTTGTCCTTTGTAGGTCTTAATAATATTTTTTTTGATCTCTCTCCTAATCCCTGTTCTACCAACCATTTACACAAGCCTGTTAGGTACATTATTGTAGTGGGAATAATAACTTACTGGTTCAGCAAATGAAGACAACCCACTTGTGTCTTGCCTGCCTCGATCAAACCTGCTTCAAGATTAGTTGTCCTACGATGGGCATTACTGCAAGGAACCATATAAAAATTGTAATGCTGCATAAACACTCTGGCAAGCCTTACCAGTGAGCAAATCAAAGTACTATAGACTAGCCATACAAAGTGCTAACATGTGCACTGGGTCATGTTTCATTGGAAAAATATGGAAAGAGTGTAAAAATTAATAGAATTATTCATTTTGTTTCAATCAATTTGCATAAGGGTTTGTATATGTTGGTCAATGGGATTTATAGGTAGCAGTGTCTATAGTGTTATCATAAAGGTGAATAGGTAGGTGGTAACTATTAAATTTCAATTATTCTAGAAGACTATTGAGTAAAATTTTGCTGTCACACCCAGTATATATATATATAAACTGTACCAAATTCTAAGGAACAAAACATATTTGGTGTTAGTATAAATTTTAGTGTTTAGTTTACATCATGGACTGTTTTTCAAATTTGATCTTTCTCTTTTTGGCCATGATTCTTGGTCAGCATGGTTTTCCATCTCTACTTATCTTTCATTGTTTTTTCTTTTATAACCTTTTTTCTAAGCATATCACCCCAAGCAATGCAGAAGTGCTACTAGCATGCAAGGGGTTACAGTGAGTGAGAGCAAGATTAAAGAGAGGTGTTTGAAAAAAGGATAAAGAGAAAGATGGGGGATCAAGATCAAGGCATCAAAAGATGTTGATTGACATTACATTTAAATTTTTGAAGATTATAGCTATCAAGGAAGCAAGTAAGAGGAAAGGAGTTCCACTGTCGGGAAGTGTGAAGAAGCTGTAGGAGTAAAAGAGATAGCTACATTTAAAACTGTTTCGACTGTGAAAGGGTGGGACCAAGATGCCAACCTAGTAGGAGGCTTAAATTCATGCAGTTGGTGCACCAGTGAAAGTAGCTTGTCAGAACACTTGCCATGAAAATATATGTAGAAAAGACAGAGGGAAGCCACAGCATGTCTGTGCAAAAGTGACTGTAGATGAGATGCCAGATCAGGACCTATGAAACTATCATTTCATCCATTTGCACAAAGTTGTCAAGTAGGTTGAACACTTGTCTTCAGTATATCTTGTGAGTGTTAAGTTCTATAAGCTCATCAACCTCACTTTCTAATTATAAGCAACAGTTTTCTTGCAATCCCTATTCTAATTTTCCATATTCTCAATATTCGTAAGTAAAACAATGCATTGAAGACTTTTCTTCATCATACTTATTATAAAACCCAGGTTGTGTGTGTGTGTGTGTGTGTGTGTGTGTGTGTGTGTGTGTGTGTCTCTGTCTGTTCGTTTATATATTGGATCGAATTTCCTACATTTTTCAACTGATTTCAACAAAACTTCACAGGACTACGTAAAATTACCTTGCGGTGGTTCTGACAGTGCCAAAAATTGGAAAAACAAATGTTTTTGCACGAAATCAATTTGAAAACACGATTAAGAGGCATCACGAGAATGAAAGGGGGACAACTCATATGGAGTTATACTTATAAAACCCAGGTTGTTTGTGTGTGTGTTCGTTTATATATGGGATCGTATTTCCTACATTTTTCAACTGATTTCAACAAAACTTCACTTTTTTTTTGGCAGGTAGTGTTTCTTATTGTCTTGCACACTTTTTTCTTTATTTTTACATTCAGAATGCTTTAAAAATTCTATTTACAAGGCAATTGTTTATAATAAAATTCTATTCAATCGGTAGACTCATAACGATTGAAAACAATGTTTTTGTTTGAGTTTGGGTTTGACCAATTCGTAAAAAAAAAAAAAAAACTAATTAAGACATGCGTGTCCGTCAACCTTAAACAATAATTTTTGTCAATTTTATTTTTCAGTCTTTATGATGGTCGATACTTGATCTATCTCTTATTGTTACATCCCCGGGCAACACCGGGCTCTACTGCTAGTTAATAATATACTTACCTGGCATTGGTGTTTATAGAGAAGATTAGTTTTTAAAATACCAAAAGACAAACTTTTTGTTTGGTTGAGGAATAAACTGACTGAAACATTGTCAAAGATAAAATAAAGATGATCAATGAAAATTCACTGCCAACCATTTTAGAAAAACTCAGGAATTTACATCACTTAATGCAGTTTAAAATTTACCTACTGAAAGGATATTTCTGGTGAATAATCAGGTAAATTTGCAGGTAGAATTGAAACAAACAAGCCAGGATTGAAGAAGACAGATTAGAATTTCATGTTCCCACCTGATAGGATGAATAAAAACAATAGTGAAATCTTTGCTCATTGTAATTGGAATAATGCCAAGTGAGAGAATTGAAAAATTGGTAATTTTGTACCAAAAAAAAAACATGTTGAAGACTACAAAGATGCCCTTTGAAGAAGAAAAACATCTTAGTTCCTTTTAAATATTCAACAGAATATTTATTTCTTTTTCTTTTCTTTCTGAGGGAAAAATTCATAATTCTTTTGTTGCATACAACTTGTTCTATTGTTTTGAAAATAGTGTTTGTAACTTTGGCCCATGAGCAAAAATATCAATAATAAGCTATAAATATTTCATCATCTTCCTTTATATTTTTAATCAGTTTTTGTTCTTATAACAAATTTTTAGAAGCAAAATTCCTGTCAAATAAAATGTTGCCAAGATTTCATTTGAAAGTTTTTGTAATAGTACTCTTTTTATCATCTAATAGTTCAATTTTTTATGCTGTCCTGGGTAAGATGATAAACTACATCCATGTCCTGGGTAAGACGATAAACTATGTCCTGCAGCAGGGCCTCTGATCAGGATGGTAGCACCTGTTAGGGTTCCAGCTATGGGCAAATAGTTAACTATTATCAGCAATACTTTTTTGAAAAAATTATTACCAGCAATACAATTTTAAAGAAAAACATTACTAGAAACTTTTTTATAAATCTAAAATATCATTTCATTGTACTCTTTTTATGAATCTGAAATATCATTTGATAGTGCTCTTTTTAATGAACTTGAAATATCATTTGATAGTGCTCTTTTTTAGGAATGTGAAATAATTTGTTGATAGTGCTCTTTTTATGAATCTGAAATAACAATTTGATATTGCTCATTTTATAAATGTGAAATAATCATTTATAGTGCTCTTTTTATGAATCTGAAATATCATTTGATAATGTCAAAAGTAACATTCTTTACCAAAAGTTCTAAAAAGTAGGATTTAGAATAAACCTTTCCAAAAAAATTATGAACTGGTATTTGAATTAAAGTACTGATGACATGTATCTTGAATCCATCATAACAATTCAGAATCAGAAAATAAACACTTCAAATACTTTAGTATACGAATCAGTTCTAGCAAATTTAGTACAGAAGATAAAG